TTTATTTGCTTTTTGAACATCAATGCAATTATTTGGCTTCACTAGCAATTATACCGGAGGCATATAGACAGTCATTAAAAGTATATTTATTTAGGTCAACAACCGTTTTAATAAGTGTGAAATCAAGTTTTATATGATAGAACTTTACATCTTCTATAGTGATAATCGAACTATTTGATAGTGTTTTCTATTAAACAGTTTTTATCTGTACAAAAAGAAAATTCTCTTCATGTTTAATCAAAATGTTGCAAATGATTCGGTTTGTAAAGCAAAAACAAACACTAAGTTGACATAGATATTTCAAGAAATGACCCATTTACCTTTTAGAAAAATAAAAGTACTGTTCCTAGTCAAACTTATATCGCACGGAGTATTAGAAGATGATATGATAACAATAACAACAGAAAAAAAAACAAGAGTTATTTTGCTTATCTACTTTTAAAAGCTATGTAAGCTTTGAAAAACTGCTTAATTCATCTCCAGGTAGACAACAAGTGTTAACATTCTCTTAGAGCAAAAATGGTAAGAAGATTTTACTTGTTGAAATGTTGTTTTATATTGAAATAAAAATATTAGACTAATATACACATGGAAATGCCTATAAAGATCCCAAAATCGAATCAATCAATAAGTGACAATACACTTCGTATTATTCTTAGTTATTTTGGTTGGTTAGCCATGTTCTTTATTATGGGATGGATTTCAAAACTTTTAATACCCCAAGTTCGGTAAGTTTGGTTTTATATTGAGTTCGAAAATATCTAAAGAAACGGATGGATAGTAAAATAGAAAACATCTATGGTATGGACCGAATCATTTGTTGACCATGTGACTTTGCAAAACTAAAAAATATGTATCTCGAGATAATGATCTTTCTTAGAACTATTTTTTATATGTTACTCAAGATGCTTTGAAAAAATTAGTGCTAGAGATCTTTGCTTAGAAGAGTTATCAGTAAAAAACTGGCGCTAATAACGTGATACTAAAAAGAATAGCGGCTTTTACTTCATAGTTTATGCTAAAAGAGCTTAATCAGAAAACTAATCTCTCTCAAGAATTGAAATCAAATAAAAGATGGCTATATTCTGTTTTGCCCAAAATGGCCAATATAACAGTGGCGGATTCGGAAGAGGATCACTGGAGGTGATCATCTTCCTTCCAAAAGCACTTTCTCGATTTTCTCTAACAGAAAAGGCTTATAAATGAACTGATACTACTTCTAGTGAGCTTCAAAACACATTTTATGGTCATGATCATCCTCATCATAAAAATCTTAAATCCATTGCTGCGATATAAAATGGAACAATGTGTCTATTTAAATTTAACACATTTCTGTATTTTTATTTTGTCATTCTCTTTTCAAAATAGGACATTAAAACCAAAAGAAAAAATGTTTTGGAAATTAGCAATGGTTCGAGCAGTCTGTGGATTGTTAACATTGTGGGGTACGAATTTTATTTTATAGTAAAATCTTGAATTTAAATCGAGTTTCTTTTATATGTCTAGCTATCTATCTTGTTTTTATTGATGGAAGTATTGCACTTGATCATACAATAGCAACAACTGATGCATCGTGGACATTTATATCTCTTCTACTTGGTTTTTTCATATTTGAAGAACTTACATTAATTTTTTTTGATATAAAATTTCATACATTTTCAAAAGAATTACATATGCATCATTTTTTTGCATTTAATGGTTTTTTTCTTGCTGCATTTGATAATGGTGGTCATTATTATGCAGCAAAAGCATTTATGCTTGAAGCAAGTACACCATTTTCATGTATTTGTTGGTGTTTATTAAAATTAAAACTTGAAAAAACAAACGCTTGGAAAATAAATCAATGGATATTGATTAATGTTTTTCATTTTCGTACTTTTCTTGAATTATTATGGTGGTATGATATCTATCATGATTGGGCTAGTATTAAACAAAATCTTTCAGTATTTTATACAATTAATATGTTAGTTGGTCTTACGATTGTTAGTTTGTGGTTAACACCTTATTGGACATATAAGAAAACAGTGCAATATTTTAATCCAACAGATTGGAATACAGGAATTCGAAAAGAAAAAGCTGATGATGAAATTGACAAGACATCATAGAAAGAAAAATTTGGAACAATGAACAATACTATTTGTTTTTCGACTATTTTAGAAATCTGAATGTTTAATTTATAATTTAGTAGTTTGTGTTTTATGTTATTGATAACTGACCTTGAAAATAATAAAGAAAAACTTAATATTGCATTGATCAAAGAGTTACTTTCATACACTGTTTTCTTTACGTTTATATTTGAGATGTCTTATTCTATATTACAACAAATTATAATACTTTTATCACAATTAACATTTTTTAAAGATTGACTAGTGTTAATTGACAGCATATAATCCAATAGTTTCAGCTGTAAATAAGATACATGGTGATATCTAATAAACGGAAGACAACGACATATAGATTGAAGTTGTGTGATAACAAAAAAAATGTTTTTTCAAGTTTGGATAAAAAAAAAAAGGAATGTACGATTTCTTGATAGATGAGGGATGAAATAATATCATGTGAACATATCATTCCAATAGTTTTCTATGTTTAAAAAATACACAAAAAGTCATATAATGGCGTATCCTCATTACAGGACAATAGACTTTATTTGAGTATTGATAAGGATTCGATAAAAAAAGTTTCTTTTTTTTATCAAACTCCCTATGCACTTTTCATACATATCATACTAGCCGAATATTTAAAAGATTCAGAAAATTAAAATGAATTACGGAGTTCTATTTCATACGAAGATCAGTAGAATACTATCAGATACTTTTTGCTGTAATCTGATTCCTTACGATAGTTTCCATTTAACGTCCGACTAGCAAATTCACGAAGTTCGTATGGGATTTATGTTACCAGATAATTAAATTTGGTTGTTAAAACTACTCATACCTGAGATCATCCAATGTCAGTAAATGAGCTGACTCTGGCGTGTGGCATAATTATCGAAAGAATACCTTACGAGGAAACGCTTTGATTTTCTAACATCGTCATGTGTCAGATTACATAAGATTCGATCAGTTTCAGTCTGCAACTTTCGAGTCTATAGATTTTTTCATTTTAAACTGAGTTTCAGAAAAAATGACGCTCATTTTTCTGAAACGATGAGTCTACAGAGACTAAAAAAAACGTCTGTTTATCAACTAAAGCCTGACACAGAAGGCCGTACCCTGTATAAATATATGACAAACATCCCAGCTATCCTAAGTTAATGACATCATTATTATTTATCTAATGACATGCTGCGAATAACTCATTACTACACATGCATCATACCCTCTATTTTCTTGATGGTGCGTCGACTAGGTCATTAACATTATTCACTCATATATATACGCATATCTTTCTTTCTTTCTTTTTTTGGCGGTGGGACTAGGGAGATTTATGAATTAATCATACATATACATATGTATATAACTCCCTATTTTTCGAAAGGTAGAACTAAGGGAAAAAGGGAGCCTAGGAAAGCTTTACAATTATGCATTAACAAATATACACACCCTGGTAATTAGTTCATAAACCATCCTAGTCCCTACATCCAAAAAGAGGAGGGTATATACATATGTATATATAATTCTCAAGTTCCTTACTCCCCCATTTCTATTTGAAATCGAGTGTTGTTTTTGGTCTAAATACAGGTTAAAATCAAATAGCCCATTGTATGCAAATTTCATCGTTTCTCACGATGCAGATTTGGTCAGAACCAGTTACACTTGGTCATTGTAGCCATATGAAAAATGCTGTATCTAGCACGACTCTGAACTCATCTGACTTGCTTCGATCAAAGAATATCAATCATCTAAATGATGATACAATAAGATTTCTATCAATACTATTATCGCTTATCATACTCATCTCAATGATATAGGGCTAGTTTCAGAAACTTCTGGTACACTCACAAATTTCAGACATAATATTTATGGGTGATAGCAGGATACGAAATATATACTATTGTTTCTGTCCACAAGATAGTTTTTCGTCAGCTTTGTTCAACTTTCGATACCTTTGTTATTTTGCTCTAGATTACCAACTGTTAATAATTTTGTCTTTTAGGACTTCCGTCAATCGTTGTATTGTTTTCGATACCTTCGGGATATCTATGTTGTTTTATTTTTCCTTTTACTTTATATCGCAAGTGACTAAGTAGGTTAGTCAATTATCATAGTCAGTCAAACTCTATATGAGGGTTTTAGCTATAACTCAGCCATTTGCGAAGAGATCACTCTCAGAGTAAGTGCCTTCGTAATTGGCCTCATATTTTCATTTAGACACCACTTGTTGGCTTCAAACAAAAGCATTTCGATACATCTGGTGTAATATCTCAGAAAAATATCTTATTAGAAAAACGTAGTATGATAAGAAAACAGTTATATTAACCATGTTGGTGTCTAACGCTGTCAAATACGACAATTTCTAATGTTGAAATTTTGAGAAATCCTTCTCCAGAATCAGATTTATTCTGAGTTTCTTCAAGTTTCCTATTCAGATACCTTCAATACAACCGTATTATCGGGTTCAAAAGGATCTGACTGGATCTTGTCCAGCATTATTCAATTCGAAATGCTGATATCAGAACTCGTTGAAATTCGACTGTATCCTTTGTGTGACCCAATATATTGCGAAGATGTGGAAAGATCCAATCGTATCCGATCAATGAAATGCAGCAGAAACTGATCAAACTTTTGCTTATAAAATCAGGTTCAGAATTCAACTTTGAAAGAGTTCTTGGATTATTTGAATATTTTACAAATAATAAGAGATAATGAATTGCATTATATGTAGAGAAAAATAAATCTAGATTTATTCTATGGTTAATTATAAAAATAAGTTCATTTCATAAAAAATTTGTTGATTAATCATTTGAAACACACGACGAAGATAATGACTAGTTCAATGAAAAATTGAATTTGACTTGTGATGATAATTAAAATATACAAAGAAATATCTACAAAATATTATGTCGATGATTGTTCATTTGAATCGTCATTATTTGAAACACTGCCTTCAGAATTATCAGTACCAATACCATTTAATTTACAAAATTGTTGAAATTGTTCTTGTTCTAATTCACGCATAAGATGATTTAATGCATAAATCTGTTAAATAAAAAACAATAATAATAATAATAATAATAATATTTTGAAAAGATAACAAACTTGTCTTCGTTGAAATTCAGATATTCGTTTTTGTTCATTATTATTTGATGTTGTATATAACGTTGGTAAACGAGTTTGAGAAATAATATTTGTTGTTTGTCGTTCAATTTTTGTCAATGATGATGTTGTAACAATATCTTTTCGTGGTGAACGATATCTTTTAAAACGCATTGCATCTATTGAAAAAATAATGAATTTAAAAACAAAAATAGAAATTTTAACAAAATAAATTACCAGATGGAGAAGGAAAAATGCTTGATTTTGAAAGAAGTGATGGCAATTTTGTTGTTGAATTATTTCCTGTCGTTGAAATATCACTATTCGGAAGATCATCATTAAGATTTTTTCCTGTTGTTTGATTGTGAGTAAGAATTCGATGTTTATGTGAATATGAATGCTTTTTCATTGATGGTAGCGAAGTAGATAGATCACCATTAGCCATTAGATTATTTTCACAATTTATTTTAACAATAAAAATATACTTTCTGAAAATACACATTATTCGTCATTTAATATTATTATCATCATGATATAGAAGTTTATTATGATTCGGAACATTTTTTTAATACAATCAAAGGCAACTAAAAAGTTTTGGCAATAAAACGGGATATATGTAACTTTGCAAAGATAGACTTTCCCTATCTAATTGTGTATGTATTATCAGATTCTACTGTTTACCGTTGACATGTCAATAGAAAGCGTCACCTATAGGAGATATCAACGGTATTTCAGGAGAATCTGATAATATATACACCATTAGATAGAGAAAGTCTATCTCTAGAAGTCTACGTATATTCCGTTCTGTAGTGAAAAACTTATAGTAGCCTTTAATGAACATCATCAAATATTTTGAATGAAAATATGTAAATTGAACATTTAGAAACTTGTTTTATTTGATAATGAAAAAAACAATCTTACAAAGGAACGTTCTCAACTGTCAAATCATTTTTCTCTTGAATCGATTGCCATTCAATCGGCCATGATGATTAGTGAACAAGTCTGTTCAGTCTTGACTTATCGAGTTAGAGATGTTTTACTCGATTTACGCCCTGTTAGTATAGCATTACTGAGCACTTGAATGATCGACTTTGGGATTGAAATTTTGTCCATAGATAGAATTATAGTCACTAGAAACTCTTCCAAGTTTGGCTAAAATAGGCGTTCCTTTAAAGTATTCGTATTTTGGTAAGAGCGAGCTCGGTCTAGTATAACCTTAGAAGAATTTCTAATGACTATAAGGTCTCTCTATGAATAAAATTCCAACTGAAAATTCGATCATCCACGTTCTCAATAATCCTATGTTCACCGAGTAATAATCGAGTGAAAAGCACTTAACTCGGCCAGTCACGATCAGAAAACTTAAACAAAACAGACTTATCACTTATCATCATGACTGATTGAATGGCAATAGTTTTAAGCGACAAGCATTAGGACAGTTGACAACATTCATTTGTCAATATCAAATCTCGTTAGGCTAGAATAATACGAACTTTCAGGCACTTCTACATATCGGTGACATCGAGATACCCACACTTTTTAATGCATTCTGAAAATTAGAGTAATTAGTATGTAGGGTATCATTACACTGATTGATGCAATTTACATACAACATTGTGTGAGGATGAAGTCTTTGTCTAAAATTAAAAGAGTGCCAGACTGTCTTTTAGATCCTTTTTTCGATCATACATAGTCATAGATGGTGGAATGTTTTGAATTTAGATTAAGCTCAACAATTTTTATAAGCTCTCTATGGGGCAGTAAAGAATAAAAAAAAGAGGGAATGGCGCACTTTATGTAATTCAGTTGAAACACAGCACTTCTGATTTAAAAACTCACATTTCACTCTGTATGAAGCTGGTACGAATGAGAAAAAAAACTCACGACTTCTGCCAAAAGAACATGCACTTCAAAAAAACAAAGACGTCAGCATTTCTCAATGTTTACTTTCGAACCTGGGAAAAAGCTTTCAATCGATTTCGCTGAAAAACAGAATGATGATGAAGCAACAATGTTCGCAAAAAAACAAAAAGGAGTTATATTGTGAGTTCGTTACCTTTGTTGAATATGTTGCTTACACATATAAACTTAACCACTGAAGGAAAATGAAGCTTTCAGCGACTTTTAGTTTATCCAACTCAAGTTTTTTTTGTACAGCTCTTCTTCACTTACAACGAAGGAGCACTACAAAAAGTTATTGGCAAGGTGTGGCAGCCCAATATTTAGTCATACTAACTTCAATATGTCCTCAAGAACATTCTTTAAATCAGCTTCACTAAGAAAATGTCACGATTTACTGCCGTAGGCGATGCAAAATGTTGACATTTGTTTCAAAATTTTCGATGTACTACATAAGTATATGAATTTAATGGAATGACAAACGAATATTTGAGTCAATCCTCATCTACGATACCTGATTTTAGGGTAGGCTTAAGCCTAGACAAGCTTGATTTCTTCGCTGCTACTGCACATAATCTATTGACAGTAATACAAACATACTCTTCATAGAAAAAAGTTTTGCTCTTTTATTTAAGTCAGCTGAATAAAGCTGCCATTTGCATGTTCTCTTATTTATAGTAACCATCGTTGCAATAAGAATAATGTTAAAAAATTTATAAAAATTCGTTAAATTTTAGTTACACATTATTTTTATACATTAAAAAGAATATTTGATCTATTCATTTTCTTTTGATATTAAACCATCCATTAATGCAGATAAACGTCATCAGCAGTTGACACGACTATAATTTGATTGGTTATACCTGAGTCCTCTGGCTCTTTAATATATATCTGTTTCAAACACACATAAACATTAATTGAAAGTTTTATCCGACTTAATTTATTTCGATAAAGTTTGATTACTGAATATATTCAGGTTATTGATATGGATCAAGTTCAACAATATATTGAACCATGCAAACAATTTATGAAAGATTCAATTCGTTTAGTTAAAAAATGTACTAAACCTGATCGTAAAGGTAATTTGTTCAATTTTTGTTTCTATTTTTATAATAATAATTAATAATATTAATATAAATAGAATTTCAAAAAATTGCTATGGCAACAGCAATTGGTTTTGCCATAATGGGTTTTATTGGTTTCTTTGTCAAACTTATTCATATACCTATCAACAACATTATTGTTGGTTCATAAAATAAAGAAAAAAGAGATATGAATTTTTTTATTTTTCTCTTGTTGTTTATTGTCATACAAAATTTTTATTCGTTAAAGGTCTATATGCAATGAAAGAAAAAAAAAGGAAGATATATGTGTCTTAAGTATTAAATAATTGTTTTATTATTTTTCATCCAGATAATGGATTATTTTGTTGTTGAGATGTATTGAATGAAATATTTCCAAAGTCAAAACGACGACCAAATATTAAAGCACCAGTATTATGAGGAGGTAAATTAATCGGAATTGTAGATCGTCGTTCTTGAGTTATTTTGTCATCAACTAATTGACAGATTTTGAAACAGTAACTAACAGATGACATCTAGTTCTAGAAAAAAAAGAACGCGAACTATCATCATATGTTTAACAGATGCTAGAGCGAAAAAAACACGAAGGGGTGTGTGTTGAATAAACATACAAGCGGTTTCTATGTACCGCAGTTGTTCTGATTTATATATAATGCCGGTTTTTTTTTTGTGCGCAATAAAGAAAAAAAAAACAATTTCCTTTTCGGTAAATATGATTGTATAACAATATGAATTTTTCGTCAAATAGATGACCGAAAATTGTTCCTCAAAAACTACATCATTCATAATGAATCATCACGAGAAATCGACGATACAGGTTGTGAATAATTATAAGCATTCTAATCATATGAATTGTCGTTTGAAAACTTAGATTAAACCAATTCATCAATTGTGATGAGATTACAGTGGTAGACAAAATTTTTTGTATGATTTTTTTTCTAAAACTGTCTGTAGTATATCCATAGAAACAGTCCGAAGTAGAGATGTGTATGACCAAGTTTTTCTTTGTTCTAGTTTTTGGCCTAGAGAAAATTATTCGTATAAAATCGAAAATAATTCTTCAATACTCGTTTGTCTGATTTATTCAGTCGATGACAAGCACTTTTTTGGGTCATTTCTCTTGAATTATGTTGTCATTGATATGATTCGCTTCAGGTTATAGAATATTTTACTATAAACTTAAGTTTGGGTCTTGACAAATATTTTTTTTCGTGGTCGGGTATATCTCTAGTTCGATTCAACTTTCTGTGTTGAATTACTTTGTTTTTCTTAAGTATTTGATTGATGAAGGAAAAGAAAAGGAATGATATAGCATCATGGAATCGTAATTTCTGACTAGAGATTTGTATCAATGAACAATTGAAGAAAAATTCTCGGATATCTTACACAACATTTAGTCAATATGTTGCACTAGAGTTCTTGCTCAAGGACAATACAAGCTGATTTAAAGGGCAATCAATATGATTTTTAGTTGTTGTTGTAGGAAAGAGTTTAAATTGATATTATCGATGGTGATGAACTTAATTCATTAATTAAAATAAATAATTTATCTAATAAAGAGTGTTTTGATGATAATGTGTCGTTTGTTTTTGTTTTATTCAGTTCTCAAGCTCAACTTCCTTTGCGGTTTACAATACATACGGAATTTTTATCAAAGTGATGTCGATTAGATTTGTTGATATTGGACTATTTTTTTTTATTGTCAAGAATAATTTCTCATCATATCAATTTCTATAAAATTAATTTATTCAAAAATTCAATTAAGAAATAATTCTTTCAATATATATTTTAGTTAACTATCGTTTCATAAATTATATTATCACTATTTGCTTTTTAATATAAAACACAAAATCTTTCTAGATGTCAGTAGAACACAGAAACAATCGGTTTCTATTTAATTTATTATTAATCGAACCAATCATTATTGGACTTTATGAACTGACATCATCAGCAGCGTACAAGTATTCCATAAAATTTCTACTTTTTCTTTTTTGAATATGACAACCATGTTAAATTCGTTTACTGACAATGACAATTTTTCATCGGTGTCATCAACATCTGATCATGTCTTCTCACATTATCGCGAAACAGACGATACATTATATTCATCAAAATATCCACCACCATCAACAACATTACAAACAACGACAACAGACAAATATCTAAACAATAATAATCATGATAAATTATATTCACCTGTTATTATTGGTAAACCATTTTCTGCTCTTATTAATTCACTTGTTCCATCACCTGAATATTTATTAAATGATAATGATGAACAAATAATATATGATGAATATGGTTTTCGTGTTGATATTAATGAAAATGAACAACAATATGAAATAGTACCTATTATTGAAAATGAAACAAATAAATTAAAATGGCTAACACATCTTGATTCAAAATATAAAATTGATGTTGTTCATTTACCAATACAAGATCAAGAATTTGTACATAAAATTGATCCAAATCAATTTCGACAAGATTCAAGAATTCCTTTATTATTACAACAATCATTCGGCATTCCATTATCAATACGTGCTCAAATATGGATGTGTCTTAGTGGATCATTACATAAAAAATATCAAGCTAAAATGTCTTATACAGATATACTTAAACAATGTAATAATGATGCACAACTTTATTCAAAACAAATTGAAAAAGATCTTTTAAGAACATTACCAACAAATGCATGTTTTATGTCAATAAATGCATCAGGAATATCAAGATTACGACGAGTTTTAAGAGCTATTGCTTGGCTTTTTCCAGGTTAAATTAAATCATTATTTTTTTTTGTTTGAAATATCTGTTTTTGTTTTTTTTTGTTTAGATATTGGATATTGTCAGGTATGTGTTACATGAATTTAATTTGAGAAATAGATTTGATTTTACGTTATAATGAATGGATATATCAGACACGATGATCCTTATTTTTTATTCGACAGATTTTTTATTTTAAGGAAACATGAAAAAATTGAAATAGGATTTATTTGAAAAGAAGTTTAGAACAATCGAAATTTGTTAATAAAATTTACCCCAAGATTTGCTTTGTCCATTTTAATTAAAATAATCGATGGCAATTAATTGGATTCGCAAGGTTTTTATTCATTCAAGAATCATTAGTTGAAATAAAAAAAAAACAGATTATTAATCTAATTGAAAATACATCAAAGTTCTGAGTATACACAAGACAAAATCTATACAATTATGCATTATTAGTTTCTCGAAGGTTATTTTATCATAATAGATAATTAAAAATGTTTCAGTTTGTAGTGCATTATTGAGTCTGGATTTTAAATAGAAAGATTGTTCTGATAAATATTCTTTGCTTGAAAACTTGTGAAAAGTTATAAATGATGATAAATAATAAATCAAAAGGTTTAGGTCCGCTTAGAAAAAATATACTTATTCTTCCTTATTATATATCTAGCCATTATAATATTTATATAAACTCATATCAAAGAAAAAATGTAAAAAAAGAAAATGAAGGCATCAAAATGAACTAAATATTGGAAGAATTAGATCGACAGGTTATTTAAATGTCTAAACTATTACTATATGCATTTTCATTAATATTTATTAGTTGTTTTTTTTTAATAATGACTATAAATATGAAAGTTGTTAGCGCACTCTCTACGGGATTAATACTAGAAACACGATGTAGTTGTTGTTGATTATAACAGAGAAATTCCATTATTCTATCTGACTTGAGATATACTGCTTCATTATTCTTTTATTTTATACTTCTGAAATGCAACAATGAATTAGTTTATATTATTATTAAGAGTTGTTATTGATATACAATGAGTGATCGTATATCAACAAGGTCTATCACGGTCTGTGACAAAGACGAAGGACGCTGCTAAAATGTCTGTGACGAAGAACAAGGACATTACGACCTCTAGAGTTTAAATGTGAAAGAGTTTAAACCGATCTAAATCTATTGCGGTAGCTTCACATCATGCTAACTGAAAGTCGACAGCATCTGTCGGGAATGGGGAGACGAGGATATAAACTTCTACTTCTATAGTTCTTCATTACTTTTATATTGTATTTCAGAAAAATTAGGAATAGTATCCATTCTATTGCGAGAGATAAGATGCTCAAGTTTAAGCGTTTTAGAACATATAATAAGGAAAAATGGGAAGTATTGAATAGAATCTCAAACTTTTCGCTTATCCACTATATATGTGAAAGAATATAGATATATATATATATTGTGCGGATTGATCTGAACCACATAGAAACGAAATTGATATGCTATTTTTTCCTAACAAGGATCAGTCAAAATTTCATGAATAAAAATATTGAAATTAATTCAACGATCAAATACAAAAAATTTTAAAGAAAATGTTCAAAAAAATATATTTTTACAATTTGTAATTAATTGACTTTTGCCGATCAATAGGAGACATACAATACAGACTTAAAATCGAACGTTCTCAACTGATCAATTGCTTTCTCACTGAAAGTTAGTAGATCATAGGCTATCCAATATAACCCGGAGAAATCCCATTAAGGCGCTTCATCTACTGGTTTTCTAGACTAACAAAATTGTCGTCGATTTTTTTTGATTCTCCCAGACTGCAGAGCATGTCAAATTATTTAGTAATTAATAACTTTTTCTGTTTTCATCTTCTAGATGATATTATCTTACTTAAAATTTATTTTTACAAAAAATAATTATACATAACTCGATATGCCCTATAATCTGAGTATATACAAAACGGTTTCGGCAAAAATTTTTGTCGATCTAGAAAATCAGTAGATAAAGATCTACGGAGATTTCTTATGATCATATAGGATAGGATACAATATACTAACTTTCAGTAAGAAAGTAATTGATCAATTGAAAAAGTTCTCTTGTTACAGTTTATTTGATGAAAATTTTGTTTTCTTAATTATTGTTAGGGTATGGGTGTTATTTGTGCATCAATATTATTATTATTCGAAGAAGAAGATGCTTTTTGGATGATGTGTTCAATAGTTGAAGATCTTCTACCTGGACAATATTATTCTGTATCATTATATGGTGTACAAGTTGATATACGTGTATTTCGTTATTTAATTGAACAATATTTACCAAATATTCATAATTTATTAACTGAATATGATATTGATTTAACATTAACATGTTTTCAATGGTTTTTAACACTTTATTCAAATGTATTTCATGTTAGATTTCTTTATCATTTATGGGATTATTTTTTTCTTTATGGTTCTATAATATTATTTCAAATAGGTTTAATGATGTTAAAACAATATGAAAAAAATTTAATTGAATCAACAAATAGTACACAAATAATTAATTTTTTGTGTGAATTACCACAATTATTTGAATATGAATATGTTCATAATAATGAAATATTTGAAGAATTACCAAAATTATTTAATTTAACATCAACAATAATTGATTTATGTAGAAAAAAATATTTAGCACAATTAATGTCACAAGAAGGTTTTACAATAAATCCTAAAATGCCATTACTTAATTTACCAAAAGATATTTTACAACGACGACATAATCAAAAATTAAAATCAACTATATCATCAAATAATTCTCAAGCACTTATTGAACGTAATATAATACAAACAGAAATTCTTGTTAATTTACGTGAAGCTATACTTAAAATAGCTAAACATTTTAAAGATAATGATTCAGATAGTTATATTGAACAAAATATTAATCTTGATGTTGATTATTCAATTGAATCACATGTTAAAGATCATGAACATTATGCAAATATATCATTACAAAAATATAAACGTGCGAGAGCTTTATTAGATTTTGAAAGTCAAGATTCAAATGAATTAAATTTTAAACGTAATGATATTTTAAAAATTTTATCTATGACAGATGAAGATTGTTGGATTGGAGAATTAAATGGTAAACATGGATGGTTTCCAGCTAAATTTGTACAATTAGTTGATGAAAGATCGAAATTATATTCATCAGCTGGTGATGATAGTGTTAATGAATATATATCAGATCTTGTTAGAGGAAAATTAGCTACTTGTATTAAAGCTATATTTGAACATGGATTAAGAAAAACACCAACTGTACTTGGTAAGAAGATTTAACAACTGATTAAAGTTTGTAGATCTTTATGAAAGAGCATTTTTTCGTTTATATACTCGTACTCAATCACGTCTCTAACGAAAAGAAAATCAGCTTTTTTGAGCAATCTAGACATGCCTAGAAAAAAACCTTCGATAAAGATTTCGTATCCTTAGCAGTTGTCAAAAATTCTGTGTCAATTCGTAGTTTTTTTTTAAAGCGAAATGCATGAAGTGAAAATCAATGTCGTTCTGTGAGTCATGTCGATAATGCTAGTTTTTTCACTGATGACTTCTTGGAACAAAGGTCTTTAGCACTGAGTTTTTTTCAGATTATCTAAAGTAACTTAATGTACATGTAACATGTAAAAATTAGCTCTAGGAACGTTCATTATTCCGAGATACATGCATTTTGATTTTTGAAATCATGTGCCTAACGAATGATTTTGTCCATATACGAGATAGAGAAGATGAACTATTTACAAAATATCGAACCACACTTTTCTTTGGATCAAGTTACGAAACCTTGTTGATTCAGTTTGATGAAATTGTATTGAGATAAATGTAATAGATATTTATTTTCGAGGAATTATTAATAAATAGAAATATGAATAGATCTTTTCATTCGTTCACTATATATTTGACCTGGACCCCAACAAGGCCACTGAGTGTACCATTTTATTTCAGATAAGGTCATGAAGAAAACAATTCATTACGATCCCTGTGTTTCGGATTACTTGACCCTTAAACTGAGAAAGATGGTTAAATTGATGCCAAGAACAAAACACAATTAAGGGATTCCAACAGAAATTATATACACAATTAACTTTGAATCTTATTTTGTATTTCGTGCACTAGATTTAACGCCAATCTTTTATCTCTTATTGAGAGAATAACTTGAAATACTTTAGTAATAAATTTCTGTTATTAACTTTCATTTGTTTTTCTACTCAGAGTATGAATTAAAGATTATCTGTTGGTTCTCTTTCTATGAATTGTGTCAATAGCTATATGTAATCTACAGGGAAATATGATTTTTAATGAGATGTCAAAGTGAAGTTTTACGTGACAGTTTCGAAACTTGAAAAATCTCGTTTGTCATGTTCCATACGACAATCGAAAATATCTCGAGTTTTTTAATTCTTATATCAAAACATATTGTACAGTTTTATTTATTAATTCTAACAAATATCGTTATATTTAAATAAAAAACACAAACAAGAACAGATGATAATGAATCTCAACCAACTATTGCATATAGTATATAAAATATCCATGTTTGTTTTCAGATTGAGTTCATTATCGTTTTTGTGCATTTTTATCGCAAGCTAACGGAATAAAGTTTTTAAAAAACGGATATCAGATGTGCACTTGCAAATTCTCACGATATCAGTCAGCTTTTTCTCTTTTCAAAATGATGGCTAGGTGTGGAGAACGAGTGACTGATTTAAGTCATGACTAATGCGTCAAAAACTTTTAAGCAAAAAAAAAACAACGAATTTTATTGTAATTTCAACTATTATCACATAAGAATTCAAGTGAACTCGTTTTAAACGAAACAGAAATTCTTTTTGTTTATAACCATTGTTTCTACATGCACCATTAAATTACAATCATCATATATTCGTTTACCTATGCTATGATATAATAGAAAATCGAAGTATTTATGATAGAAATTAAAACAAAAATCTTTTTCATTTGTAGCTTATTTTTGTTATTCTACAATTTGCTGAGAAAATAATTATCGAGAATTTATAATAGAATGTCAAGAAAGATATGCAATAAAATTTCCATTTGTTCTTTTATTTCAGGTGGTATATGTCATCCATGGCTTTTTATTGAAGAAGCAGCATTACATGCAATAAATAAAGATTTTGATAGTGTTTATGCTCGTCTTATACTTTGTAAAACATATCGTTTAGATGAAGATGGTCGAATATTAACACCTGAAGAACTTTTATGTCGTTGTATACGTTCAATTAATTATACGCATAATCTTGCTCATGCTCAAATGGATGTTAAACTACGATCATTTATATGTGTTGGTCTTAATGAACAAGTTCTTCATTTATGGTTAGAAACATTATGTTCATGTACAGATATTATTAAAAAATGGTATTTACCTTGGTCATTTTTACGATCACCTTGTTGGGTATGTAAAATTCTTTTTGTTTGTTTGTTTATTTAAGATTTTTATTTTTTTTCTAAATTCAGGTTCAAATAAAATGTGATCTTCGAGTTTTACAACAATTTTCATTTACATTACAACAAAATTTTGAATTACCAATAGCATATAGACAATTAGATGTTCTATCAGATGTACGAGATATGCTTATAAAACATCATTTATTTAGTTGGGATCTTTAAATTGGTTTTTTTTCTTTTTATTAGAATAGATTATTTATGTATAATAAAAAAAAAAATGTTTTCCGTATTATTTATTTTTTAATGTCAAATCAGAAAAGACAAGAAATATTTCTCTTATTTTTTTTTTCATTGTTGTTGTTGATGTATATTTTTTATTTTATTCAAAAGATGAAATGTATATACAAAAAACCTAGTGACTATTGTTGTGTTTTTATGTTGTGAAAAATAATCAACGACAAATGAGTATTGTTTTGTTTTTGTTGAGTTAAAGTCATTTCAAAAGAGAAAATATATTTTATTTTAAATCTGTAGATATAATGGCAGCGGCTGTTGTCGAAGAACATTTATGTGTTACACCTAATTGTGGAGGAAAATCAAAACTTCGTTGTCCAAATTGTGTTAAATTAGGTAGAAAAAACTTTATTGATATTAGTTGAATTTTTTTTGCATTTAATTATTTTTCTAGGTATTCTTGATGGTTCATATTTTTGTTCACAAGATTGCTTTAAAAGTTATTGGCAAGAACATAAAAGAATACATGTACAAGCAAGTTCGTAGTATCATCATTTTTCGATGATTTGAATTTTGAAAAAAATTATTTTATTATACAGAAACTTCTACTTCAACCAATGAATTAGTAGAAAATTACAATCCATGGCCAGGTTTTCATTTTACAGGAAAATTAAGACCATATCCACAAGTGAGAAATTTTAAATGAAAAGAATTGGATTATCAAAGTTATTTTTTATTTTAGACTTCTCGTCGATTAGTTCCACCGAATATACCGCGACCTGATTATGCCGATGATCCAAAAGGTAGATCAAAATCAGAAGAAGGAGAAAAATCATCAAGTAGTACAATTCGTATATTAACTGAAGATGAACAAGATTTATTACGTGATACTTGCAAAGTTTGTTTATTGAAAACCTAATATGATAATAATAGATTATATTGAAATTTTTAGCTCGGTCGTATTGTCTTAGATGAAGCTGCAAGATCACTTCGAATCGGTATGACAACAGAAGAAATCGATCGTATTGTTCATGAAGTAAAAATAACTTTCGATTATCATTATCATCATCATTCTAAAATGCAAATAAATTCCTCTCATTTAGTGTTGTGTCGATAATGAATGTTATCCATCACCACTTAATTATTATGAATTTCCCAAATCATGTTGCACGTTAGTTAAATTTTTTCTCTATAATTATAGATTTAGATCTTTTTCTTTAGGAGTGTTAATGAGGTTATTTGCCATGGAATACCTGATTTACGTCCATTACAAGATGGTGATATTCTTAATAGTAAGTCCACGTCTAGGGCTGACCAAAAGTTCTCATCACGGTGTTTAAAATTTTATAAAATACTTAATTTCGAAAGTTTTATGACATAAATACATAGCAGAATGCATCATCTATAAAAATGTGTATGATACGGATGGTATCCGTTCAGTTACACGCACAAGCTCACAGTCCATACCGTATAGATTATTATAGACGAGACATTTTACTATGTATTCATGCAATAAAGCTTTCGATGTTAACTATTTTATAAAATTTTAAATAACGTGATCAGAACTTTTGGTCGACGCTAAGTAAAATACAGATAAGCAATAATTTTTTTTTTTTTTGTATAAATAGTTGATATTAGTGTATATAAACACGGCTTTCATAGTGATCTTAATGAAACATTTCTTATTGGTAATGTTGATCAAAAGTCACGTGATCTTGTTCGTACTTCTTATGGATGTTTAGAAAAAGCTATGGAAATGAGTAAATTATTGATTAGTTTTTGTTTTGAAAGCAAAAAATTCATAAAATTTTGTTTATAGTTCGCCCAGGTACAAAATATCGTGATATTGGAAATGAAATTCAAAAACACGCTACAGCAAATGGTTGCTCAGTTGTACGTTCTTATTGTGGACATGGCATTCATAAGTATATTCATATAAATTAATTAAATATAATATAATTTATCATATTTATTTAGACTTTTTCATTGTGCGCCAAATATTCCTCATTATGCCAGTAAGATTTTCAAATATCTAATCAAAAAGATCTATTCTTGTTTTCTATGTTAGAAAACAAAGCCATTGGTGTTATGAAACCAGGTCATTCATTTACTATTGAACCTATGATAAATGCTGGTAAGATAAATGAATAAATTTCATACAATTTAGTTTTCTTTTTGCATTAGGAACATGGCGAGATGTTCTTTGGAACGATAATTGGACATCTGTAACTGAAGATGGACAACGTTCAGCTCAATTTGAACATACATTTCTTGTAACAGATACAGGCTGTGATATTTTAACAGCACGTTCATCTGGTCAACCATGGTTTTTGGATGGAAACCATATTAGCTAAAAAAAGAAGAAGCCACAAAACAAATACCACGAAATAATTCTTTCTTTTTCTATTTTTACGAAATTTAAATACTTATTGAACGAAGTTCAAGACTAGCATTTCATCATTATTATAACATTCGTGTTCGTATTGTTATGTGACTAATCAATCATGCGTCAAGACTCAATGAAGTTTTGATAGAAACAAAAAAAATGATTTTTTTTAAAATAGGAAAATAAAAGATATCCCAGGAGCTGTGAAATGATTTTAAAAAATTCATTGTTCTTGCATGCTGCAAAAGCAAATTCTTTTAAATTTTGACAGACTATTTTGCCTACTTAGTAGTCAATCAAAACAAAGTTTCAGGTCTATAACCTTGACTATAGATGAGAAACTGTCACAACACAATCATGTACAGATACGTAAAGTTACCAGCGAGATTCCGTTTTTTTTTGCAAAGATATTCGCCTACCTACATGTATCAAAACAAAATTCGCTAGAGTGAATATACTGTGAATATGGATATCTTCTGAAAAATTTTGAATTCCAACGAACCTCTTAAAAATTCAAAGAGTTCCTTTTCGAAAACTGATTTTAGTGAAAAACTTATGCGTGAATATTTCCAAGTGTCCAAGCGCTTTTGAGTCGAGACTTTGCACACCTTGTAAACCCATGTCCTATAAATCGCTAAAAAATTGCCGATTAATCGCGATATATCGAAACGATAATCGCGAGCTGAAACGCGATTAATCGCCGATTTTTAATGATATTCTTTGCGATTATTACGATAAATCGCGATTTATCTCCGATTTTGTTCAATATTAATCATAGCTTTATCGCTGATTTATCTGATATTATCGTGATTTCTGGGATTTATTTTTTATTTAACTGGATCTATTGTTCCGACTTAGTTTTATTTACAAAAACTCTACTATTTTGATTACTTATAATATCAAAAGTAACAATAAAATCAAGAAAAAGAAGGNGGCATGCATTGTATCCTATTAGTTTTATCTTAGGTTTCTCGTTTCCGAATCAAAATAAAGTTAGCTACGGATATCTGACAAATCTGAGCTGTATGAGTCGAAAGAACTGAATCGTGAAAACTACTGCATACCACATTCACGAACTCAATGTGTTGACCGCTTCTGTTTGTATGAATTTTGTGCACTGATCAGTTCTTTCTTCATCAATTGGTTAGATAATTTCCATAAATTAGATTTTTAAACAACTTATTCTAGCGCTTTATGGATCTCCTCAACTACCATCCGGCTCAATGTGTGTAGTTTTACTTATGTAATCTGAAACGAACCTGTGAAAATATACCTTCTAGAATAAATTGCGTTATGAAATAAACCCAGTTCGGTTGANCTCCTATCTCGTATATAACGGAAGCTGGATTATTGATGCCAGTTCATTTAGTTGATGTGGAATTGTCGTACACCTAGCTCTAGATATTGTGATTCATTTCGTTATTTTCTATTTTCTATATCTTATTTGACCAACATATTATAATTTTATTTACACAATAAGTTTATTTAAAAGCATTCGTAGCGTAGAAAACTCTAACTATCCCAAAGAAACGTGTCCTGATTGAATTGGTTATTTAGCATGACGTAATGAACGATTTTGTATTATTTCCATTGATAGCATTGTTTTTGATGCTAAAAGTTAACTATAAAAATATTTTTTGTGAAAAGTCAATAATAAAATTGATTTGTAATATTAAAAATTTCAAAATAATGTCGCCTGATAGAGAGGAGGTTCCTTTTAACAGTTTTTTTCGACTAACCTGCTCTCTTGAAAAGAAAAAGATGTACCTCACCGATGTACCCCATTTTAGAAAAAATTGTACCTCAATTGTACCCCATTTCATATCTCTTGTACCCCATTTAAAAATTAGGATATGGCAGCCCTGGTATATGGATTACTGTTGATTAATAATGAACAAAGTAAATTCAATACAATAATAATCAAAATTGATTTGCATTCAATATAACAAACGAACTCGTTGAATACATTCAATCACTCGTCAACAAAAACTTCATCCCTGCATTAAACCACTTAAATATTTTATTGGATTTTCGAATGACTTATCGTTTGATAAACAATTTCGTAGTCTTGATATATTTACTCCATCATGGTTCAATCTTTTTGAAAATGATTTACATAATCAATTATCTACCAATGCATCGGCATGCGCTCGATTGTTCTTTATGATATTGTATTATAATTGGTAAAATCCTAAGAACTTCACGAAGAAACATATCTATGTAAGACATATTTGAAACTACACCGTAATCGTCTTTATATTCTTGTTAAACACAATTGACGTGAATTTCGATGATGAGTTTTTCTTGAATATCGGATTTCATAGCTAAAATATAAGTGCAATAGACCAATGTGATCGACGTCGTTTCATAGTCAGCGATCATAAAAATAAGGATACTGCCTACGATTTCATCAGGAAGTAATACTTTCTGCAAGATTTCTTCTCCCAAATTTTTCTATTATAATTGAATAAAGGAATCCTCTCAATGTTAATGAACAAAATTAGATAAATCAGTTTCTTTTTCTCGTCACGTACTTTTGCTTCGATCATGAGGTTTACAAATCAATATGATTCTATTCAATTGAATGCATTTTACAGTGATCAACAACTTCTTGAGCTCGATTTATAATCGAGAACGAAACCAATTTTTCCATAAAATAGTTTATAAATGAATTTATGGAAACGTTTTTGAATTATTTTGAGCTGGCAAAAGAAGAGTATTGCGGAAACAAGTTTAACAAATGACTCAATTTAAAAATAAAGAACTTATCGAAATTAATTTCCATTACTGAAGCCTATTTTTTCAAATAAATATTGTTAATATCATTTTGCATATTACTTTTAATACCGAATTCTGGTTACCATAGAATATAAATAAAGTTCCTTCGAGAATAAGTTCAACGGTTGATACGATGAATAGATTTTATACTGGCAAATAATAACTATTTTCGTACGTTTATATATATCATAAGTATTAAACTCTTGATTGTTTTGATTCAGAATTGATAGTTTATTGATTGTCATTTCGATACATTCATTTATTATAGGTAGCATCAGTTTCATTTTGCAGAGTGAAAATATTGGACAGAGAGTGACTCGTTGATGCCGCTACGTAGATTCTAATGGTCCAAATACAGAGAGTATAGGTGTGGGTGTGGATGAGGGAATGGATTTCGCGTGGATGTAGATGAAGACTGATCCCACGTCCACATCCTTCTCGAGATACCAAAATGCCATTGAATCTACTCAATCATTTTTACAATTCGTTTCTTCGCTTATTTTATGACCTAGTATTCTTAAGATTCAACTTTAGTCGACCGACGACTCTAATTATTAAACGGTATTTCTAGCTTATAGACTTAGAATAACCAGTATTTATGAAATCCAAGTATCGAAAAAATGTTTTTGCTATTCTGATTTCTTGGTTGTGTAGATTTCAGCTTTTATTACTAAATGATTTGTCTCAAGTGTAAGGATTTAGATAACATGAGAATAAATCACAGTTAAATATTGACGTCCATGAGAGGCATATGAACAACAGCAACGGCGAAGGGTGTTAGCGTGATTCGACTCAAGGGTAATTCAGTGATGATTGCTGGACCGAAGCCTGATGCTTCATTTACTACTTCTAGTTTACCACCAGTAGCACCAGGTAGAAATACGTCGACATTTGCAAAGCGTTTGTTGATGATCAGCACCCATCGTTGACCATTTCTGCAGATGAATCCTTGACTAAACACATATTTTCCGTTTAGATCTGATGTTTGTGTTCTCACTGCTTGATCACTGTCAATTTCGGCCGTATCGATCAACAATTTTGATATCCAGTATTTCGCTGTTCCGGCACCAGTTGTCCAATTTACCATAGATACGCTTGGATATTGTGGTTGAAGTTGAAGATTCGATAGTTTAGGGTAACCTAGAAAGAAAAATCTCAGTAAAACAATCATTAATGTCTGCCCATAACGTCTACATACCAACTAGTTGACTTTGCCCGACAACATCGATACCTTGTTGTGACAATTTCGCCCATGAATACGCATACAATACACCAGCTGCATTCCAAAAGATTAGAGGAAACTGAGGCACACCTGGCGTATTATCATCAGCGAGAATAACACCCAACTCATCGATGGTTGTCCGCGTCTCTGGAGAAAGGCTCTTGCGAATCTCTTCGATTTGCTCAACTTCAAAAGTGAACGTGTCAAGTTGTTCGAAAAGTGCTTCGTAATCTAATGGGTCTGTACGTGATTCAGACCAGGCATAAAAATGATATGCAATCATATCAAGTGGAATATTCGGTGCATGATTTGAATGATTAAGAAAATAACGATACCATTCGAATTCATTGTGCCCTAAAACTCATATTGAAAACTGCTTAATTCACATATGTATTGAGTAATTACCTCCTAGAGACAATCCCACGTATTTCATTTGAGTATTATTGGTGTGTCGTCGAATGCCTTGAATAACAGCATCATAGGCACGAGTATACGACTCTGGATTCATAGTGTGTTCTGATTCGACTTCATTAAATATTTCTGTGTAATCCCAGTCGTAAAAATGGTTGGACACATGATCACGTCCATATTCATCAATGAACCCACCATCCATATACCAAGCGAAGAGGCGTCCATAATAGTCACCGAGATCTTTTATCGTTTGATCGATCAACAATGAACCTTCATCATAGAACCAGTCCACCTTCGATGCATTATCAGGATAAATATGAGATGTGTTGAGATGGAATAGTCATGAGGGTTGAGTGGAGAAAGAGACAATTCTTGAGTGACCATCAGTTGCTGCAAGAAAATCTTCAAATATCGGATCGAGATAGGTAAAGTTCCAATAAGTATTATTTTGTGGTGGATCGCATTGAATTTGAATTAATAGTTGTTTTGTTTCTCCAACATCTGACCAGAAAATTATATGTAACAGTCTGAAACAAAATATTCATTGTCATTCACTTGTGCCTTTTAATACTTCCAGGGTCGCCGGAATGATGCACTCTTCTTGACCAATACACACTTGTTGAACAACATCAGAACTAGAGGACGCGTGACATTTTCCCTGTTGCATCTGACCGCAAGCACCAGTGGCCGTACCGTACGATGCAAAATCGACTTGACTGATAACTCCACCACCCTCTCGACAAGATAGCTTGATCGAAAAGTTTTGTTCAACATTGCCACATTGGTAAATACCTGATGGTGGATCCAATTCGGCAACAGTTAATCTAGGATAGGCAAACCATGCAGCATAGCGTGCATAGTTAACGTTGAGTTGTGCCAAATTAGAAAAAACTTGTTTATGAATTGGTGAAAATTGTTGAGAGAGTAATGGGTTAGCAATCACCTGTATGCTTGGTGTTGTGTGTCGTTTGTAATCGATTTCTGACTATGAAACATCTATTAAAATCGGATTGTCTTCTGGTTGTCTCTGTTGCTGATATGGATATGTCTTCACGTTTTTACTAATACTAATACCCAGCATAAGATGGCTAAGTAAAAGTGTCAAAACATCAGCAATAATATGCATTGTGGTTAATAAAACTGAGAACGAGACTTCTTCAATATTCTGCTCAATCTAAATGCACAATTCGCAGTCTTTTATTCATCAAATATACACTATTCTTAGTCAATTCTATTATAATCAGAGTAGAACATTAAAGCCGTCGTCAAGCAATGTGCAGTTCGAATGTTTGCAAGTAGAGAACACAACTTTTTGCTCTGTGCTTTTTTTTGGAATATTTTTTTTATTTGCCTCTCATTCTCGCAATACAAACATGAAATTAGTTGAGGAACCGAGTAAAAGAACGAAAAGAAAAATGTGTCACTTGATGGTTTTACAGGCAGCGCTCATGCACAAAGAAAAAGACGACATCGTAAAAAAAAGAACCAATAAAAATTTACTATTTATTGACAACTATGAAGAAATTGAGAGGTGTGAGAGAGTAGAAGTTTATCACTACGTTTTGATTGATAATTTGTCGCTTTGCTGAGATGGTTGTGAAGCATATCAGTGGTTTTAATAAAAAAATATGGTGTTGGGTGTGAAACACGATGACCAGATCAAAAATAATAAATATTATGTCACACTGCTGGCACTCGATGGTCAACTGGATTTCCATTGATCAATCTATATTTTATTTTCAATATGTTTCGCTATAAAGACAGACAATATAATGAATATATCTTTTAGCTAATATAGAAAAGACATTTAGTGTCAAACTTTTTCACTGAATTAAAATTGGTTAATGAAAAATGTAAAAAAACAAATCATATATAATTCGTAGATTAAGAAATCCAACGAAAACAAAATATTATATAGCATCATCTCAATATTATCATTCATATATTTTGCATTTTGTGGAATTCGCTTTAGCAAATATGTTTGAGATAATATATGTTTATCAAATTGTTCAGACGCACTAAATCACACAGGGATGTGGATGTGGACTCATAGATGGAAAGAAAGAGAAGATCCACATGGAAGCCTTATTCTATTTTGAATTAAATTCAGTTTCATAATTTCAACTACATACCAAGAAATTAGTGGGTAGAATAGAATACAGCACAAATATCAAGTAGATTATATTTATCATAACTCAATCGATATTCATCAATTAGATTTTTTTTCACAAGAACTTAATACTTTTCTTATCTAAACAAAATGAGAAAAAAGAATAAGTTTTTATTTTTATTTTTTGTTCATCTTATGTTTCATTTAACAAAGAATAAACTCACTTTTTTCTGAAACAAACTAAAAATATGAAAAACTTTGATCAACAAATATAATATATCTTGCCAGCATTAAAGATTGCTGTTTTTATAAAGATTTCTTTACTAGTAGATCTGAGAAATTAATTTACAATGCTTGATTAAGCGTACAGTTGATTTGCATCATCATCTTTTCCTAAATCTTTTTTGCCAATGACATTTGTAAACTAACAATATATATTCTATACCTATTTCAATTGATTGTTGATCTTGAAATTTTCCATTTATTGTTAAACGATAAGAGATTTGAAGACATCTAACTAATTCTTTAGATTTTAATCGAGCTAATGAATGAAATAACGTTGATGAATAGGCATGGTGTCTTAGTAATTAAAATGAAAAGTTAATCAATGAGATTTTTACTTTCAATTTTGTAGAGCTGATTGATTCCTTCTTTTTAAATTCTACAAAATATCCAATTGCACTTTCTTCATCACTAATTCAGCCACTTCCACGCGTATTTCATATTGAAGAAAAAAATCAATAACATAGAAGAACACGTGACAATTCAATGAATCGATTTGTCTTTTAGCATTATCTCAAACTCTATCATCTGTTGCTTTTTTCTTATCCAAATGAAGATTTTGCAACGAACTTTATTGTTATATTTGATATTAATTTGCTGCTGTTTCTATTATTGGTTGTTTTTATTTGATTATTGTGCCTTCAAAAATCTTTTTAATGAAGTTAATAATGATTAATTCGATTTTTGTTGATCTATTGATCATTGTGATGATATTAAATCAGCGTTCGAATTCACTTCAGATATCTAAAATAAACTAAGTTTTTCTTAGTGAAATTTAAAATAATAATTAGACATATATTCATATTATTTCGATCTTTTCTTAATTTTGTTTGTGCTATAACTTTTTAGTCTATTCTAAATTTATCAAATGTAACTGTAGAGAGAAGTTATAATAATGATTTTCTTGAAGTTGTAGTGTTTTTACACAGTATATACTTATCAATCTACTTATGTGATAACTGGTGTCGATATACTGATTGAAATAATTTATAATACATGCTATATTATAATGCATTGCATTACAAAGATATGCCTATGAAAACTGACTGAATAGTGTCTTTTTCGATGCAAATTGATAATGCTAATGGGTCTGAGTTACCTGTAATAGTCAAAGAGCTGAAATCGGTACCAATTATGAGAGATGACTTAACAGTAGTTGACTCTGTAGAAGCTTTTATTAATAATTAAATATTCTGAGGGTGTAAATATAGGTATATAGGATTAAATCTGATCCTCTAATTACCTTTTATTGAGCTAAGAAATGAAAAAACAAATACTAAAAGGAAACAGTCAACTTCAAGAAGATAATTAAATAATAATCAATAAAAAGCATTCAAATAAATTTAATAATTATATTATCATTAACTTTTTGTTATTAAAAGTGGAAATTCATAATTTAAAATGTCAATTAACTAAATGTGAATAACAAATATTTGAATATAATTATAAACAAAACGAAATCAATGAATTTCAAAGATTTTTTAAAATATATTATAGTTATCTTGAATCATATCGATATGAAATTCAAAATAATCTTTATTATAAGAACGTTTAAATCAAGTTAAATATTAGTGTAACAAAAAATATTAGGTAATCATTCATCAACAATGACTAAATTCGAATTACTTATCCAAAAACATGATATTCTTTTCGAACTATAAAGCATTTAAAAACTAAAACAGTACAAAATCAATTGTAGTTTATATTGGAATTTTTAATCTTATTTTTCTACAGTCAACAAAACAGCGTTCAATTAAGAGTTAAGCCAATACAACTAAAACAAACAAGAATATCAATCATTCGATCTTTCATTTATCAAATAAATATTTCTAAAATTAAATCATATCACCCCGGAGTGGTTTTGAAGGGTAGGTGTTCGGTGAATAAAATTTTATTCACCGAACACCTACCCTTCAAAACCACTCCGGGGTGATATGCATTGAAATAAACTATTCAATAACAATTATAAAAAACTGATTCAATTCAATCAAATAAATCTCCTGCTTTCAACTCAACTTAATATATAAACGTAAAGATCTTAATTGATGTTAGACATTTTTTTATTATATAGGAAAGACATAGAACTACAGACTAATGAATTCGAACTTCTCAAGATATAAAACATACCAATAGAAAAAAACAAATAATGAAAGTTAGACAGATGATCGTCAATATAAAAAATGAATTCAAATTAATAATAAAATAAAATGTATTTTACCAAAAGCGAAAAAGACAATTCATCATATTATTATTGAAAAATAAAAATCTATTTGATGATATCAATTAAGAACAAAGCGAATGTCTTGATCATTTGATTTCAATAGTAGATGATTTCATACAAACTGAACGCAATCAATTAGAAAAATAATTTTGAAATTAAATTAAAGAACTTTAATGGTAACAAAAATACAATATTCTTCATATCATCCTGAATGAAAAGTTTTGTTTCTCAATTGTGTAGATCTTTGAAAACGAGTTAAAATGAACTTAATTATGAACGACAAATGAGAACTGAATAATTAACATTTGCTACAGCATCCGAAGATATAAGATGCATTGCTCTAAAGAATATTTCCTCAAGATCTACGCTTCTGTTTTGTTTTCCAATGGTCAAAGATTATCAAAAATATATTGATGAACTTTGAGAAAAACTATCCGAAAATAATGAAAAATGAATTTCATTAGGTGATCATCTTAGCGAAGTTGAACATGAACTAACATCAGCTAAAATACAAAAAAGAATTGTTATCATTCGTAGAAGAACAAAATCAACTTATTGAACAATATGCTATATCTTCAAGAGAACAATAAATCTTTAATCATAATGACTCTTGTGTAATACGATAGAAAAAAATTTTAATCAGATATTTTTGAATTTTGTTTCTTTAATGTTAATCAAATGTACTTTAGCAAAAAAAAGCTCATGAATGAAGTATATAAGATTGTATAGTTTCCAAAAAATTCAACATGATACCTTCTCAGTCGTCGAAGAGTTCGTCCGAACTACTTTTCAACAATAATATATTAAACATTATGTAGTTTTAATATTGTAAGCAAGTACTGATTTTATTTATAATTTTGTTTTTCTCAAAAATTACATTTTTAAAAAAATCGATCTAACAAAGTTTTTCTCGAATCTGAAAACTATCACATACTTTTTTATAGAATCCTATTGGTTGAAATAATTTATTTTAGTCAACATCAAATTGAACATGCAATTGAAAAAGAAGAAGATTTAACTAAACTGAAACATTCACTTACTTATCAACATTTTGAATTTTAAACTTGTGAAGAAAGAGAATAAATGAAAATTTTGAAAGAAAAATGTCTTTCACTTATTCAATTAGATTGATTCTCATGTAGAATTATAAACTGAAATAAAACGCAAAACGTAAAAAACCAAATCATTTTAATATCATTCTTTTCATTAACCCTTAAAAGTCCACTAAGAGGATCTATGTACAGAAACTAGAGTTTCTCTGAACTGACATGATCTTAGCGACTATCTAGAAGTCATGATGAGATTCTGAGTTGACTTCTAAAGACTGTCAGATAAGTTCTAATACTCATAGTTTTTAAAAATCCACTACTTTGTCTAAGATATTCGTAAATTCGAAACACGAGCTTCTCAGTTTCCTTTTTCTAAGAGTTACCGTCGCAGGCATTATCATGGTATCTAATGAAACCATTCAGTGAATTGTTTTGCATTCTGCCAGTAGAAAATGCTAGAATGGAGGACATGCACATTAAGAATTCAAAGCAATAACTTTCTCGCTTATAAATAGCTAAAGGGCTGCCTGTATTATGTTCGAATTCTCAGCAACAGATATGTTTTGGCTAAGGAAATACAGTACGCTAAAGAGAAGTCACGTTTTTGCTAATTTTTTCTATGCTTAATATCTTAGAAAAGAAAATTTTGCTTTCACTAAAAATTTCACGAACAATTGATGTCAATGAAAAGAGGCTCTGAGCAAAGTTTCAGCTTCAAATTGTTCTCTTGAATATTTTGGTGAGGTTCAAGATTTTCAACAAAGAGCTCTGTGCCACAGCAAGAGATGAACAATACAGTGCATTCTGACTATACAGTAAGCATATTAAGAGTCAACAGGCATTATATTTATGGTTGTCTTTGGTCTCTTACGTGAAAAACCCTCTTCGGCTTTTAAGGGTTAATTATACTAATTTTTATGGTAGAACACAAATTGATGAGCAAATAAATGTATATAAAAATTAATAAAAGAAAACAAAATGTTCATTAAAATTTTTTCAAAATAAGATTCATTGTGTTGTGAATGAAAGATCAGGTAGATTATATATCTAGTTAAAGAACAACTGCAAAATGAAATAACAGAACTTCAAATTCGAAAATATCAGTTCTTTCGATGCATATCAATTTGAAAATGAATGTTTAACAAAAATAAAAAAGAAAAAATTGAATTTTCTAAAGAAATCAGATTAAATATATATTTGGATTAAGAATGACTTAAAGCAAATTTTTCTTTTAGTTTATCTTTTATTCAAAATTATCAAAGGATGAGATTGTTTAACTTCAAGAAAATCTCTAACAAAAAAGTATAAATTTATTCAACGACAAACAATTCACATTAATAGAAGAGTATGACTTTATTTACATAATTTCATTTTTATGCTCTAAAACATATCATTTAGTCAACAGTTTAATAGAATGAATTAATTTTGTCAAAAAAGATTAATCTTATTTATTTGTAGTATAAAACTGATTGATACAAATTTTATTCTTTTATTTAAAATTGAATTTCAAGAGACCCTTAAAATCGAATTCATATTAAGGAATAATTCATTTGAATTAGCACCCATTACATCCAAAATTTTCCAGATCCGGCTCCAATTTCATGGAGTTTAATTTAGGCATGCTATCCTAGAATGAAATTTTATTAGTTGACCATCATAATTGTGTATCTACTAGACTACTATGTAATACGTTTTATATGACTAGAAAAATCATGAGACTTGTGTTTATGAAAAGGTTAAAAGAAGAGTTTAAGTATAAAAGTTTAATTCAAACAATCCTATTATCAAATCTTAGAAGATTTAGACACAATTTTTTCTGTACGAGAGAGGATGTGGGTATGAATATTTATTACTACACCTCACACCCACTATCATCATAGAAAGCATAGGTTTTTGTATTTCCTATACTGGTTGTTTTGCTTTTCAGTATTGGTTTAATTATATAGAAACGAGACATAATTAAGAAGATTTTATAACAAAAATTAAAATATTATTTTCTTTATTTTGAAATCTATTAGTTTATATAGGTGAGCATTGTTTTTTTCTTAATGAACGTATTTGTTTAATAGCATTGTGCCAATGTCATATCAATATAGTTTTCCAAAAATGAAGTTAGGTTTAAATTAAAATTCTTCTCAAGTATTATGTATATATTTTAGACCGAAACCTTTAATTCAATATATTAATTTAACAGATGAACATAAAAAATTATATTTGATGAATTTCAGGCCTGTAACTTGTCTAGACATTCTTAAAAAAAAAACAACTGATTATGCTATTATAATAAGAATTAATACGTTGAGCTCCACAATTCAATAAATTAGAATATTTTCCATCCTTGGATCGATATAATGATATGTCAAGTCGAGGTCTATGTATGTTAATTATTATTGGTTTTTTTTGTTTTGAAACATTCTAAACATAAACGAAAAGAAACTACCGTTTATCTAACTGGTAATCATCGCAAACATGATTATATTAATGCAAATGAAATTCGAGTAGTATAATTACAAAGAAAAAGAAGAAATCACATAAAGTATGAATATTTTTATAGGGTATAACTGGTATCACACAACATATTGCTTGTTAGAGTCCATTAAAAAATACATGTGAAGAGTTTTGGGATATATTAAAGGTAGATAACATTTAATAAAAGAAATATTGTCCTTCGTAGGTTTAAATTTTATGTATTAAGAAGATTTGTAACTTGATGATCAGAGTCAAAATATTGATTTATTATAATAC